AAACGGTCTTTTCGTCGAGCAACGAACTTTTTAGTCTCAGAGCACTTAATTTTACATGACATGTTTGTTTACGTCTCATCCTTTATGTCAAAGATGGATTCCGTCACGTGTAAAATTAGAAATTGCATGTTTCATAGATAACTCTCCTGAAATAAAGAAGGTTTGCCTACCTTAAACTTGAAATTAGCCCAAAAATGACGGAAAACTAATAATTTTCCTTAAGATTGTTACTCCTTTGCACCTTTGTTTCGGTAGTGTTCCTATAATATAAGAATCCATTAGAAACCAATGCGTTTCACTATTATAGGAGCCAAGGTAAGCAAATACCACAACTACTTGAAATGTGTTCCTATTAATGGAGGACGAGTTTTCCAAAAATGTATACAATTTAATCACAATATAACATTTTTTCTAGCAAAATACGATGACGTATTAAAATACTATGCACATCTTTTATTTATTTTTTTAATAAATAATCTTCATAGTTCCTTCACTTCTGGCTACCGTACACTATGTAGTTATGGAACTGGTCATACTAGTCAATATACAGTAAAGCGTTTATCTTCTTGATGATAAATTAAAAATAAGGTAAGAAACGATCCATTAAGTACGTTACGCTCCAAGGGATCATCCATTAATTATGTCACATTTTTAGGGGGAGGGGGTAGGGTTTGGAAACTGTGACGAGTCATACAAAATTATTTTTTTTTTTTTTTTTTCCTTTGGTTTGTTTTTTTCGTCGATCTTGTTTTCCGTGCTGAGCACCAATGCTACCGACGTGCCAGGAAGGCAGCTCCCACACCTGGACCCTACCTATCGACCCATCAACTCATGAACCGGGGACCAACCGCTTAACTTCCCATCCGAAGGAAGGCGTGATCAGAGATGTTATGCCTCAGAACATCCCGGCGGCGCCGACTGGGATTGAACCCAGGCCTGCTGGGGTGAGAGGTAATCACGCTTACCACTACACCACCGGCGCCGTTATACAAAATTAAGGTCCATACAAAAAATTTGACAAAGGGGGGAGGGGGTTGAAAATGGGCCAAATTTGCATGACATAATTAATGGACTTTCCCCACGGGATGAGTGGGGTGGGGTTTTCAATTGTATGACAAGCAATGCATTAGGTATTGAAAAAACGATGCGAAAGGGGGTGGGTGACTTTCCGTGAATTTTGCGTGACAATATACAATATACAATATAGGGTAGAGCGCAACTTCGTCGTAATCGCCCATTTCCGTTCTATCGATCAGAAAAGATCAATTATATCAATGATTTCACTGTGCACAAATCAATAATAGGTTTGTTCCGATGCGTTAGTTCATTAGCTACAACATAAATCCTATTAGAACGCATTGTATGAATATTTACGCTCATTGTTCTCAAAACAAAAGAAGCGCTCCCAGCGAATCCCTTTTTTCTACGTTTATCCGCAGGACGAAGAAAATCTAATGGCGTTCCAATGACGGAATTGAAACTCGTAGAACGAATTTAGAATCAAGAAGCTGTATTAGATTTTAAACAATATCTCAACAATTTGTGACTCTTTATCAAATTCAACGGTACGTTTGGAAAGGTGAATACATTTAGAAGTAATTTTTGATAAAAATATGCCATTTTTTATTCAAACCCGTTCAAAAAAGAGGGGTAACGTGAGGGTTGTCCTTAGTATGACGGAAATTAGATCAAAAACTCTACGGAGACTTTTAAAAGTTAATTATTATGCCAACTTAATAATAAAGTGGTATAATGTGGTGGTAACAATGAACTTATATTAACAAAAATATGTTTAAGCAAATTGTTTTGGCGCACGGAAATCAAAAAGACTGTGGATGAAAAATACATTTTTCACAATCTACCAACAGAGTCCGGTTGAGACCTTTTGGCTGATCAAAATATAGAAAACAATTCTCTTTAGTGAGTGTTCACTCGGCTGTCGACAGAAGCAGGCCACTCTCGATGTATGTCACGCGCTAGTCTGTTTACTCAGCAGTAACCATTGGTCCTCCTCATTGTTCTTCATAAGCAGTTTTTTCGACTTTGGAAAGCAACCGTGAGGTGATGAGTGTGTGAGTGCTGACCACGTTTTGCGTCCATTAAACTTGAAATCAAGCGCTCTGAAGCGCTCTGCCCCCCGTTGGCGATACTACCATACAATGAAACCACTGGAAGCGGGTCCCGTTCTGATGGAGGAGGCTTTTTGGATAGCGGAAGATAAAGTGTTTATTGTGTCGTACCTATTGACTATAGTTTCAAGTTGTTTTGAATAGTGAACAAGAATCCTAATTCAAGACAAGAAGTTAATTCGATTGAGCCTTATCAAATAAATTAATAAACAAACAAAAAATCTCTTTGGAAAACTGGAGCAGACAACAAAATAAAGTGTCATTGTTTTAAATTATTTTGCATCGATACTACCGTCGATGAATGTTGTAGTATCGATGGTACGACATTGATGATGCTACCGTACTTCCCTGCTTGACTAGGCGTCCATCTAACGATAGCGAAGTGGGATGAAGACTCGTCGACCAGAACGAGTGACCCTAGTCGGTGGTGTTGTAGCAGTAGGTTTAGCTGCGGGACCAGAGCTACTGTGCGGTGGCTGCTGTACCTCGGTTGTGTGTGGATTTCAATCGGTTAATAGTCGATTTAGAAGTGTTTGCTTGTCCGACTCACCACCTCAAACGGATTGCCGATATGGTGACGAAAAACGACGGTCGCAAGGAATCGTTGCGGATGAAACCATACTTGGATGACTACACATCCTAATGCACTAAAACGAATCGATATCCATGCCATGCCGAGTCCTTGGGTCGCAGATCACGCATAGCTTCTCGCAGCTTGACGACAAATTCTGCGTCAGTGCGATAGATGCTGCAGAATACATGTTATAGCACATTTAAATAAAATCATGACAAACATTTTAAAAAGGTTTAATTTATATCTCGATAGAAGTGAAAGTCTTTTATAAAAGTTTAAAGCTATAATCATTATTTCCGAAATTCGCTGTTTGATGGCCGCGGTAGGTACCTAAACTTTGAGTTTTATTTAGTAGGTAGATAAGTGCAGACACGCTATAAATGGATTATATACACACTTAGAAAAATTCATGTAAATTTAGGTGCTCTGAGACTGACATATACGAGCGTCAATTTTGACATAAAATTGAGTCATAATAGACGCAAAATTCAGCTAAATCAAACGTACTTTCAAACTTTTCAGTCTCGGAGCATTTAATTTTACATTACATGTTTGTTTACGTCTCATCTTTTATGTCAATGATGGATTCCATCACGTGTAAGATTAGCTATTTCTAAGTGTGTATAGAAGATACATGCGGTGAGTTGTATTTGTACCAAAGCATGTATTTTAGTTGTCTAAAATATAATTCGAAAGCCATAATATACAGTTAAATACAAGTTTAACCATGTATAATAGAGCAATTATTAATTTGGTAGACAACTAACACATAATGAAAATGTTCAATGAGCCATAATATTTGTTTGTGAAAAATATAGCTGAAATAACAAACAAAAACGCCTTGATGACAAGGTTCATACAATCGCCACAAAATACAAAAAATAATAATGATAAAATGTATGTTTTGTCATTTTTACGGTGTATCCTATATACAACCAATGTTCAATTATCTATGCTTTAAAGTACGAATTATTTTCAAGATTTTATTCTTTGAATTCAAACTTGTAGCTGTAACCGATTTCAAAATATTATCGTTAAATTAAAAACAACAAGGAGCTTAGCCCTTTTAAAAAGTTGGTCGTGAAATAATGAATTTTTTTACTAACATCGTATTTTGATCAAACCAAGCAAGGAAAATGCGAAAAACAAAATATGGAAATCTCGCATGTCGTCCCAGTCGTAGCAAAGAGATGCTTTTTACGTTCGATGTCACTGTTCGATGACACCATTCGATTGGGGATGGCATGCCATTGTTCGCAAGTGACACGGTGAACATACCCTGACTTACCACGACTACGTGAGCGTTAACACGATCGTCCTCGAAAACTGTCAGTGAAGTAAAGCCGTTGGTCCCCGGTCTATGCGTTGATGGGTCGATCCGCAGGGTCCAGGTGTGGAGCTGCGTTCCTGGCGTCGGTATCATACATAACTCGGAGCGTTTGGTATAGTATTTCCACGCATTCTTCCACCCCTGTAGATTCATGAAATGTATCGTTGCTTAAATAAACTTATTTGAACTCCAATCATTTCGTAGAATTATTTTTGATTCACACTGCAAAAAATTTAATTTTAATATCACAGGAAAGTGGATGCACTTCAATCGTTTCGAAAATATGGTGTAATATTACTGCACTGTCTGTGGATCTAAGTTCTGGTTGACAATATGCCTTGAGGAAGTTATCGTACTTATGTAGTAGCTAAAGTTGGAGTTGGATTCGGAGTCGGATTCGGGGTCGGTAGACATATTTTTGAGGAGTCAGAGTCGGAATATTTTTCTCCGACTCCACGCCTATTGTTTTGTATGATATATTTTAAAGTTATTTTCATACCATGTATAAAGCTTATACTACTAACCATTATGCGTAAAAAAATATGAGGCACCATTTTTACGGTAGTTTTTCTTATTTGGCGGTTATCTCATTTTCTGTACGTCCTGGTTTTTGAGATCATCGACAAAATTTCTGTGCATTAATAAATGAACAGCTTGAAAGTAGGTACTGACTTTTTATTATTACGAAGATTGAGAACATACTCTCATATTAATTAAAAAACCATTTGTCACATAGCCATGTCAGTTAAACTTTTTGGGCATGCTGTCATTTTGTTGCAACAAAATGACAGCATGCCCCAAAAGTTTATCTGACATCGAATTGAATCGGTCTAATGTCAGCACTCATTTGACATTTTCTAAGCTACTCATAGAATTTAATCCAGATGTACTTCTCATTCCAGTCATACTACTATTTTCCAATTATACCTCCTGAAAATACATGATCATATTTTTTCTCTTTTTCCAGCATCCCCACGGTTATTTCCATTCTATCCACCTCACTACAGTTACCTCCTTCCACCGTGCGGTTCTAAACGCAAAGGCGGCCAGGTGCGATTCACCCCTCAGCAGACACAGAGCCTTGAGCGACGATTTTCCAACCACAAATACCTCTCACCCGAGGATCGCAGACATTTGGCCGTTCAATTGAAGCTTAGCGATCGACAGGTTGGTACTTGATTGATTATTCGATAGCAATTTGTATACATTTTCACATTCTTAACAGGTTAAGACATGGTTCCAAAACCGCCGTGCCAAATGGAGGCGTGCAAACAATGGAGGCCAAACTTCGGATTCACCGATTGATTTGGGAACAGAAAATGTGAACAAACCCGTTAACCCCGCAACCGTTACTTCATCCGCTAGTTCACCCGTAGATCCGATGAAGAAATACTCGAATGACTATCGTGCAACCTCGAATAGTAAACCCGCAGAACAGTACGACTGCAAGAGTTCCGAAAATTATTCGGAACATGAAACCTCTAGCGAGGGTGAGGACAGCAGCTATGAGGATGGGGGAGCTTCACCCATCAATGTTATTTAACTAAAATTTTATCTACCGAAATTTAAATAAATTATTCTACTTCTCACGGACAGACACGGCGTCGTCTTATTTCACTCTGAACCAAAGACTTGCCACACTTATTATCGAGACTCCGCTTAGTCTAACGAATTGGCGTAGTAACCTTTGGTCAGAAACGGTTGCTACGATTGATAAGCTGAGTTTCACCGCAAATACACACACAGCAGGCCCTGCACCTTGCTTTTCGAACATAAAGCAATTAATCACAGCCAATTGCTCATACCTTTTTCACTATCCTTCGCTACATCGTTTATTCATTATTTTGTCATTGTGATAACGCAAAATTTACCCTACAAAATAGTCATTCGTTCTATGGATTTGATAGGTTTTTCGAAACCAATCGATATCGGACCAGCTACATGACATTCCACCCATTCTTAATTGATCATCCAATATTGATATAGCGAGCGACTGCACTGTTTTGAGGTGACCGCATATCTTGCAGCTTATTTAGGGTGTATCGGTTCTTCGATTGCGTCAAATCAAGCAGCTCCATCATCATCATCTAGATTATTTATGAACGATTCGAGAAGGAAGTTGTTTTCTACGAAGCACACCCATTGCTCAACGGCGAGATTACGTGGGTGATTGGACTTGTTCACAGTGGCCTTAATATTTGAAAAGAGAGCTTATCTGTCAATTTAATTAGATTGGCCTGACTAAAGCGATTGCGAAAACACTACGCCATAGAGGCTATAGGGTACATACTATTCGGTAAACAAATTTTTGATTTTGCGTGTCACGTGCTTCATATGCTGATAAGGATACACCTCACGCTACATGACTGCCATAGTTAAGAAGAAAATTAGTAAATTCTAGAGTCCTCGTCCAACAATACTTAGTTAAGAATTCAAATGAAAATTTTCTTACGTACCTTACATGAAGAATACAGAGCATGTAAACGTTCGATGTAAGATCTTACTAAGGAGGAGCTGGGATTGAAAAATCTGAGGGAAGCTACTCTATCTACGATGCAGGAAAGATTATGTTGTGGCTAGCTGCGCACACGCTGAGTAGACAGAAAGAAGATTGATGACGATTCTGAAGATTTGTTGCAAAAAGATGATGCGCGATGCAAGTAGGTGCGAGAAATGAAAGAAGATTTTTCGAAAATTGATTCCCTAGTGTGAGCATCGAGAATTGAGATTTAGATATGACGCCCCCTCGGAAAGATAAAAAATAATTTCTTACGTACCTATTGCGTCACATACAAACAGACGTAACTCTTCATTCTGGATCATCGTTTGCACATTAAACGATTAGTTTGAATGTTATCGTTTCCGCGAACTACTCACCGCATCGCTGTATCTTTTTGACGTTTCTATATATTCGGACTTTCTTTCATGCAACATTGTTTGCAAATCAGCGAGCAAGCTTGTTTGAAAACGCGTCCGACTTCACCACGAAGTTTCCTCCTACTTCCCCAAAAGTCCTTCTGACTTCCGCTAAAAGTGTCTTCCAATTTCTATAGGAAGTTTTTTAAGAGTTCCCCAGGATAATGCATTCGACTTATTCTGGCAGTTTATTCCAACAGTTTGTTGTCTACTGACTCCGACTCCGAGTCCTCAAAAATATGTCTGCTGGCTCCGACTCCAACTGCGTGACAGTATATTTATGAAAAACGATTGATTAATTGTTTGTGTTTATTCTGATAAGAAATAAAGCGAATATATAAAAAAAATCCTTACCTCAAAACAAGTTTATCCAAGTCGATTGAAAAATTTTATCAACTAAAACTGTCATAAAAGAAAGATTTAGTTGTCAGTTTAGGGGTCTGGGAAGAATTATTTTATTTCAGGGGTCAGTGAGCCTAGTAATGATTTAAGATTGTCCTCAGATCCCTAGGTTTGTCTTGACACTTAAACTTTTTATTTAGAAATCAGGACTTTTAATGATTCTGAAAACTAAAATAATGTTATATGTTTAATTTGGACCTTAAAAACATATTCAAAATCCTGGATTTGAAAAATAAAATTTTGGAGTATAACAAATACCTAGTGAAATTGAACGAGACAAACATATGTCAAAGATCGATTATGATCGCAGCAGGAGTTCCACAAGGCTCCGTCCTTGGCCCAACGCTGTGAGAACCATCTCGTTGGAAGCAGTATGCGTTATCGCCGGAATGATCCCTATCGGCATCGCCCTGGCGGAGGACAGCGAATGCTATAGGTGGAGAGAAGCCGGAAGAGTACGGAAAGTTGTGAGACCTGCGTCGTTGGCTTAGTGGCAACAGGAGTGGACCATGGTGGAGAACGGTACATGGACACATAGGCTGATACCAATTTTTTCGACCTGGGTGAACAGAAAACACGGAGAAGTCAACTTCCACCTACCGCAGTTCCTATCTGGTCATAGTTGCTTCAGGAAATACCTGCTTCGGTTTGGACACGCAGCGTCACCCCTCTGTTCGGAGTGCGGCAACGTCGATGAAAGGCCGAAGCCTTTTTTCGGAGAATGTCGTCGATGAAATGTGTCGAAAGGAGGGCACTTAGAATGTCGTCAACAGAGCAGTCACGCAGAATATGTCGGAGCTGCAGCGTAAATGGAGAAAGAAGCAGCGATCTAGCAACGCCAGCTAGTGCTGAGAGTATGCGAAGTGTATAAGCGAAGTAGTCGCTTCACCGTGGTCCCGGGAGATCCAGGCAGAGTAGAACGTAAGGAACAAGTTTTAGTGGAGCTGCACTAGGCAACTAGTGAATACCACACCGTGCCAACTTCATTACAGGCCAGGCTTTTTAAAAATTTCATAAACCTTACCAAAGATGAATACTAAGATGAAACTGTAGGAAGAAAAACTTTCTATTTTAGTGTCCTATTTCACGGTCCCTTACCCCCCGTATTCAAGGTTATTTTGTGGTTTTGCTGCCCCCTCGGTAGAGATGAAATTTTGCGCTCAATTTTATCAAAACAATTACACCAAAATCAGAGATGTCCCATTTTTTAATTACTTGATTAACAACTAATCGATTATTTTTTTGTTCGCTGTGCTGCCATTTTTCCACCACTTAGAGCACAAACGAAGTGACAGACGACTAACTGGCGAAGAAATCCATTAAAATAATGTAGTTCACTGTAATAGAATTTTCTTGGAAGCTTGTGCCATCATCCACCAGATGGGTTAGTTTTTTTGTTTTGATTTGAACAAAGTTGATTTTGTGTACAATGATTCTTTGACAGTGTGCAAAGAGTGTATCATTTTGTCATTTTTTTTATGCATTTCAGTTTTCAGTAGAGTGAAAGAGATAGAACCAAAACATTCTAATACATTTGGTGAAAATGCTAGTATAATCCAGTAGTAGTGTTGCCATGTGGTACAATCCAGTAGTAGTGGTGTTGCCATGTGGTACACTGAAAAATTGAAATAGCAGGTTAGTCACCAAAGTTTTCGAGCCGCTCCGTCTGTCACTTCGTTTGTGCTTAGAGTGCAGCACATGTTTGAAACGATCGGTGATGATTCTTTGGAGATGTTAATGCTTATATCGGCATGATAGGGAAAATGAATGTAATGTCGGCCGAAATGCTCCTAGTTTGGGCCCATACATAAATTCAGCAATCGACTAAATTTTCAATGGCGACCAAAAATATCCATTAGAACCGTCCGAATGACGCGTTCATCTAGATAAAGTTGATAAATAGCAGATTTTTAGCGATGGGCCCAATCTTAGATCCATAGGCCAACATTAGAGCCATTTCCCCTATAACCGATTACAAATATTTTACTTTTCGATTAATCGATTCATTGATTATTCGGATGAAAATCGACCATCACTAGATGAATGTGAAACGTCATTTCAAATATAAGGACCGTTCATAAATAAAGGGACCGGGGCTAATCACAAATTACGTCCCCACGGTAACTGAAATAAACACGAGTGTTCACCGGTTGACCTTACTGTACAAACAATGTACACAAATAGTGCAATTTGAAGAATATTTTTAAGTTGTAAATGTTAAATAATAACGAACACAAAAAAAAATTGAAATACTAGCATATATTTTCAATATCATGGACATGGAATAAAACATCAAATTCCAGGCATTGAAAAACTACAAAATCTCGAGCTGGATGTAATTTTCAACAGCTAGGAATGGTAAAAATTTTGATAATCCTGTATTTTTATTTATTTTTAAATCCATAACTTGGCAAAATTTGAAAAATATATTACTTGAAGCAATTTCCATGATTTTGGGACTTAGATCCCAGATTATTTTTTTTTTCAACTATCGTTGGACAAGTGGATTTGTGCTTAGAGAAATTTGAGAGATAGTGTGAAAAAAGTATGATATACGAAAACTGTGACTTGTAAAAGCAATAAAGCATTGGTGATATAGATTCTTCGAAATTCTGGGATACGTCCTGTAAAAATGTCGCTAGCACAAGGTAGGAGTAGTCAACTAAGGAAGTGGGAGACGTCAGAGTCTAGACCGTCCGTGAAGTGAGAAGGAAGTGAAATTAACAAAAGCGAATAAAGTGGGAGTTTGTCTTGAGCGAACTTTAAGTGTATCCTTGGTTCGCGGAATTGTCACGAGCGTGTGCCGACCCTGAGGCTTGGAGACGGGGGTCTCATCAGTGCTGGGAGTAACACCGCACTGGCACGTTACACAACAGCTGAAAATCGACAGAAGGTGGTGTCCTTTCCGCTGTCGGTTCGGATTTAATGCCCGAGCAATTGAAAATGATTTGTGGAGCAGCGTAGAACAGGTTTGGACAGCTGTTGAATTTGCGGATCGTATATTTTGTATTATTTATTGGATTTAAATTTATATGAATACCACCCTAATAAAAATTTTCCGTAAAAGAAGGACCATTCAACTTCAAACAACTTCTAGGCAGATATCAACCACCAAAAACGGTGGTGGTATGGTAATTTGGAGAAGTTTGTGCCAAACTACCAGTACAGACGGTCCCGAACCTGTAGAAGCAAATTTCATGAAATAGTTTAAATTACATGTTAAACTTAAGAGAAAGGTAAATTTCAAAACATTATCAGCAAGAACTGAGAGCTGCCT